TGTTTATATAATTGCAATGGAAATAGGAGTAAAAATATATTAAGTTGTTATAATAATTATATAAAGGTGTAGTTGAAAGAACAGTAGTATTAAACAGGATATTATATTCATATTATATATTCATATTATGTTTTATATATATATATATATGTCTTTGTATGTTTTTATGTATCTTATATATATAAAAAATATTATATATATAAAAAACATAATATGAATATATAATATGAATATAATACCCTGTTTATTACTACTGTTCTTTCAACTGCACCTTAATATAATTATTATAACAACTTAATATATTTTTACTCCTATCTCCACTGCAGTTATTATATAAAAATTTTCTCATACCCTATATATTTTTTAGATAAGATTTACGGTCTCTTTACAATTTAAATCATTAATAATATATTTAACAAACGCTAACATATTTAAGAAACGCAGTTTTATTATTTATTAATGTTTTCTGTTTTATTTTTATGCTTACAGAATAAAAAAAAATACCATACAGCAGGGATCGAACCTCAGTCGTCCGTTACCTTCGCTGCTGCGCTACGTTACTCCATTGAATACCCTTCTTACTAACTTGTACACTATGGTGGCTCTTTTCTTTAGACTGTTTTTTCTCAAAAACGAAGAGGTATTGCATCGTACGCTATTACCATGAGTTATTAGTAGTCAAGTACTATTAACTCCGTAAGTCTCGTTTCAAATTGTTTCCCGGTCGATGCGTCCTCCCCTTGTGAGAGAAATGTTTGGTATTTGTGTGAATATCATGTAAATGTAAATACATGATAAAATATTTATGTGAATATCATGTAAATATAAATACGTAATAAAATAATTAGAATTGGAAAAATCATTTTTGTTAACAAAAAGATACACTTAGCGCGGGAAATAATTACATTACATTATAATGCGATTAACCATTTTTTTCTCTCAATGTACACGCTGAAATGTATAAACTACGCGAATCGCACTGATTTCTCACCAATATCAATCATCAAATAAACCCATCATCGTAAATCTTTATTTTCGACTCACCGAATTGCCGAGCGACTCAGGATCAGAGCTGCGTTCTGCTACAGATCTGAAACAAAAAAAGATAGCAATTTGCGATTAGATACAACAGTTAATTACTCGAGGAGAAGCTCACTTAGATCACGAGCGCGATAACTCTTTGCGACTGCAATTGGAAGATCTCAACTTCGAGACTTTTATTTGGACAATTATGTCTCAGCTTTTTCAATCTTCCGCTGTGGGTTTTAATACGAGGATATAAGGAATCTGTAAAATTAACTTCGAGCCGATCCTGCTTAGCCCGAACCGAACTCTCCGGTACGGCATATGGCCCGCAACCCGTAACAAGCTCCGTCAAATCAGAAACAGAAAGCAAGTTTTCCGATTAGTTATATGCGTAGACATCAATGGCTCGAGAATATTTGGGTATTCAAAACTGTATATTTTTCTATCGCACTGATAAAAATGAGGAATTACCGTCACCATCTCCGTATGCTGTCGTTGTTCGGGAGGATGTCAGCACAACGACCACGCGCTCAATTCCCGAACGTGACGTAAATTTCTTACGCAAGTTTCGATCAATTCAAAAAGTCGGGGGGGGGGGGGACGACGTGCCCGCTCTCGCATCGAGGACTGTTGTGATCGCTCGGAAATTACGCACCCTCGTACATTATTATTCCCAAAGTCACGTGCCCTTCAGCCGGCGTCACGCACTCGAGATTATTATTATTGACTCACCTGTTTAACGTTCTCTAGAGGTCGCAACGTTAACGTTGTATTATTTCATAGTACCCAAGCCAGCCTTGAAATTGAAATGGCGAAGGAGCGCGGTGGGGTAGATTACCGAGCGGGGTAAACACGCATGGAAGCAGCAGCAATCGACGTGAACGCGAAAAATAGGCAATCATGAGTTTTGCAGGTAGACCGTGCCCTTTAGCAGGTAGAATTGCGAATACTGCGCTTACATACAACGTAGACACGCACGAGGTGCCTCGAAAATTTATTCTTTCGTATCGGAAAGCTACGTAGAAGCTACACGGGAGGGCATTGCGCGAGTTTATATCCCGGGGATCCCGTCAATATTTTTATTCATCGCACACCAATAGAGTACACGATGCATCGTCGCTCCCTTGTTACCCGATTTGAAATGGTGTGTATCGCACGAGAAGCACTTTCTCGCGCGAGGTTCGCTAGGTCGCGATGCCACGGAGACGTCAATATCGTATTTCGTGTCTATCTCCAGCCGAACTCGAGAGACGTTCTCTTGAGTTTCGCGAATGCTTCGGAGAGATCTCGGGGAGATATGATTGGCGTTTCCTCTCCCTTCTCCTTATATCAGCGTCTAAAGACGCATTGGCGCGACGTACGATCCTGTTTTTTTCCCTAATATTCCCCATCGACAGAAATGAGACACTCTCTGAAATATATATCTCTCCATCCCCGCCTCTCCTCTATCTAGCTATCTATCTATTTGTCTATACATCCGTCTTTTTTTAAATTGACGTAATTTGAAAAAGAGGCTCTCTCTCTCTCTCTCTCTCCGCGACGGAAAAAGGATCGTGTTTTCAACGTGGCCGTATACACCACCGACGTTGAGTTTTCGCTACCACACAGAAATGCTCCTTGTACAAACAATCGAGAGGGTACAATATTTTTATTTGCTCAGCATTAGCCGGATGGACGATTCGACTGGCGCGCATGTATGAATAACTCGGCCCTTCTAACTACAATTTTTCCGCGGGAGCACACGACTCGCATATTTAGCGACGCCCGCGGTCTCTCGCGAACACTCGCGGCTCAAAGAGCCGCGAATATTCGAACGCGGATGTGCGACGACCAGGGGATTAAAGGGGATGAATATCGCGGCTCTTTCGCGCGGCATTCCGCGTTCGCGCGTTCCGCTCGCTCGCTCGCTCGCGCGGAAGGGCGAGATAAGTCGTACGTCTTTGCGTTGCGCTGGACGTTTCATGAAGCGGAACTCCAAAGGCTTTCCCCCGAGATACCGGCGCGGCCCGCCGCCAGGAACTCTCGGCCCTGGCGAGCGAGAGGAAATCGAGAAAATGTTCCATTTCCCCAGTACGAAGTACACTCTTAACCGAGTTCCCGCCGGAAACATTCCTCCGCGAGCCGTTTCAACCCCCGACCGTCTTGCGGTTGTACCGGCTAATCACGACTGACTTTCCTCGTGTTTGTCCGCTAAATGTCGCGGGAACTCCCGTGGTCGATAAGTTCTCTGATAAGTTCGCGATCGACCAACCCCCCCCGTCTCTCCGGTGAAAACTCGATGGCGCGCAGCGGCGGTCGTTTGTCGCACAGACAGCGTGAAACTCGTTCCGAGATTATCGCCGCGAGGAGAATACGCGCTGTTTTGCGCTGTAAAGCGCCGCACCAGCCTTAAATTTAACGGCCGGAACATGCGTCACGATGCGAACGCGCAAGAAACCGCCCCGCTCCCGGGAATCGGCGTCTCGCCGAGCGTGCGAATTCGCGGCGTGTTTTCCGCCCTTAACGGCGCTCGTTCTTCCGTCGTTTCCGTCGCCGATCTCGCAAGGCTCGGGGATTTTGTCCGCGCGCGCGCGCGCGCGCGCGTCGCTCTGCGGCGAGCCGACGGACACGACGCGATGAGGCGGGACGGGACGCGCGACGTGGAAATAACGTTCATTATGCAAACGAATGCTAATGTCAAGCGGAATGACAGACGGCTGGGGAACGGAAGAATATTCGCGCAAAGTTCGAACTCCCCGTCGCGCCGCAATCCGCGCGTTTCCATGGGGTGTGTATATGTGTGTGTGTGTGTGTGTTTCTGCCTGTGTGCACGTGCGCGCGGTCCACGCTCGTCAGTTTGCGGTTCGCCGAGAATGTAACGGCCAATTTTATCCGGAGGAACGAATCGCTGCTGGCGGAAGGAAGGGAGCCGCTCGTCCCCGCGACGCGATTGTCCGAGCCGCCGCTCCGGAAACGTGTTATTTCAACGACGCGCGGATGTCGCCCGGTGTCCTTTCGTGAGCGATCTTTCGCAATTCCGCGAGTCCTCCTCGCCGACGAGACGCCGTCGACGGAACGTTCCCCCGCTCTATTCGTCCGCACGCTCCTCTTCCGCTCCGCTCGGCAACGCACAGCCCGTTCGTCTCGAATACTCCGCGATCACGTCTTCCAGTCGCCTCGTCAGGATCACCTGATCTTCCACTCGACGGACCAGCTGATCCTTCCTCGTCATCAGGTCGTCGAGCTTTCGCGCTCGCTGCTGCTCGAGGAGGCGCGAGCGCTTCGCAGACTTGCGGTTCTCGTACACGATTACCATCGACAAAAGTCCGAAGACTAACACCTGACATGTGACGGGAGAAGCTCGAGTTGTACTTTGTGGAGAATCCGCAGAGTTTCGAGTAACGAGAGAATAATCGAGTGAGACGGGTGTCAGTCGGTTCTCGGGGGTGTGCGATTCAGGAGAAAGTAATACAAGTCGATAAGCGCCGACGCGAGATGTCAATGGCAGGTGTCTAATTGAATAAGTCCAAGACTCAGAGCGCGGAATAGACATCATTGTCTGTTTTCTGCGAGCTTCTTCGTCGAGCGGTTCCACGCGACGTCTCGGCAAGAAACGCAGCGAGAATTGGGCTGACGATCTCACGAAAAGACGTAAAAAAACGTAATATGATTCCCCCAGCAACATCCCGAAATACGATTTTTCCGAAATATCAAGAAATATTTAATATCCCGAAGTGTTATCATCCGGGATTTAATATAAGGCGACAATGCACCGAAATATACATACGCGTCAGCCCGGGATATTCGAGGATAAATATGTAAACTTTCCTGAAAAAGCCACGGCTCCGAAATCGCAAATAGGTAACCAAAACATCAAATTGGGTCAGTTTAAGAATCGACAGCAAGGATATCTGAGCGCACGTATATAAATATACGGCTAAAATCGTAGCGCGCGCGCACACACACACACACACACACACACACACACCGAAAGGAAACATTTTGATCTACTGCTGCGCGGCGTCATTTAATTTCGGAATAATAATATATTCATTAATGTTGAAGCCCTGCACAACATCCGAAATGAATCCAGATATTTATTTGTAGCTTCGCAGTCGTGACCTCCTCCTGGATTTTACGAATTTTCAGACACACTGTAGACAAGACTGTATCTGTGTGCATCGCGCCAATCACGGAATAAACGACGCGAATCGACTCACTGCGTGCTCTCGAATATCCGCGGAAAGTTGTGTTTCCCGCCGGTCGAGATTCGGATTTCTCGGGATTATAATTTTTCGCAATTACATATAACGTGTCAGTTCCCGCTGATCTCGCGATTTTTACCTCGATTAATAATGTCGTCCCCAATTCCATCGTACGAACGTCATCAACGAGCTTTCGCTTCGTTACGGCTCGAACCTTCGACTGATCTATCCTGTCCTCGCACCAATAATAGAAACGTCCCAGTTGAGTCAGTACGTACTTTCTTAGGAACGGCCGTTTCTTCAAGCGCTTCACTATAGCCCTCGACAGTGGTTTCGTGACTTGTCTCAAAATCTGGCCGATTAGATTGGTGCCGGGAAATCCTTGTCGCAGCATGGCTGGGACGATTGCAAGACGCCTCGCCGGATTTAATTAGTAAAGAGGAGCGTTTAATGCGGGGAGCTTTCTTTGCGAACGCGGACACGCTGAAGCTCGAGCGCGCGCAAGAGACAGACAGACAGACAGACAGACAGAGAGACAGAGAGAGAGAGAGAGAGAGAGAGAGAGAGAGAGAGAGAGAGAGAGAGAGAGAGAGAGAGAGAGAGAGAGAGAGAGAGAGAGAGAGAGATTGCGATATACACACACAAAGAACGTTATTCGTGACTAATAAATTTTTCAGCCGTTGAATAATTATTATTAACCGGGAAAGTGTGAGAGGAAATGCTAATTCACCTCTCATTTACATTTTGACGTAAAGCAGGTTAAAATTGGGGTTGAGGTTTCCGTTTTCATGTTACATGAGGATTCGAGTAGTCGGCAGTTCTTGATATTTATTCATCTGTCGTAATAATTAATAACCCTTAACCTTTACGCTTTGCGGCAGCTGTCACCGCTGCGCTTCCCGTCCCCTACGCTTTTTCTTTCTATTTGTAATCGTTATATTACTGTAACGGAATCTCCGGGAGGATTTGAGATTTACCGCACCCCCATTTCTCCCTTCGTTACCTCTTCGGATTTTTTTCGTTTGATCTCTGCATTTCACGCAGCGACACAAAGGTGTGTGTGTACCTTTCATATCGACCGAATCGGTTAAACGGATTACATCCATCTAGATGTCAAAAAATCACGTAGCTGACCCAATTGAACGGCGGACAATTGCAGGTCACGCTATCACTTCCGACTGGAAAATACTAGCCGTGTCGCTCTTTTCAGAGCTCATCAAAGTGAAGCATCATCTTGTCAACATTCGAAACATACGTATTAGACAAAAACGGAAAGAGAAAAAAAAACGGATGAGGGAGAGAGAGAGAGAGAGAGAGAAAGGGAGAGTGAAAGAGTTGATTGCGACTATTTTGTAAATTTTCCATTTGCTAATAGAGTAATGTGTCATTGCACCGCTTGGAAATTCAATTTTCATTGGCGATAACTCATCAAGCGAGTTTCCTATTTTTATTTTCCGCGATTCTGCACGTCCATTTTTATCTCTCACGATTTTAAAAACCTATTTTTCTATTGCTTAGACTTGTAAATCACATATTTCTATTTATCACGATTCCAAACGTCAACGGCATTTCTTCCATTTGCCATTCTCGAATACATGAACATGTGATAGGAAAAAAAAAAAAAATGAGTGGAATTCTTCAAAAATCTTTAATTATAAAACAGTCGATTCGGAAATTTGAACGATAGAATTTGCTGTATCGCGGCAGGATGAATTGTTGCCGTCACCTTCGTAAAGTCGCTTCCGCTTGAAAAGCTCTCTATAGATTCGCGACGGGCGAACGCGAACGCGTGTGTATGTACGCGAGACGACGAGCACGAAGTGAAGCGGGATTTAAGAACGATTCACTCACCATGTTTAGGCCGAGAATTTGTTTCGTCGTCTGGGCAACGCCGCCCTTCGTTCGATATAACATTTTCATCCATTTCCCTTGTGTCTCGATATCATCTGGCTGGATTTACCGGCGAAATCGAGTATACTGAAATGTCGCAGTTGAGGCATAAGCCGTTCTCCCGCATCGAGATCCACGAGATCGTCGCGAAGGCACGACCCGCATACGATCCGAGCGTGAGAAAATCTGAAATATTTTTCCCCCTCGCTCCTCGTGCCGACCCTTTCGTAGCGCCGCTGTCGTCGGTACTCTGGTCGCGCTCTCGCGATACGGCGAAATAATTTACGACGGAATTCCGGAAATAAGTATCGGTAATAAAAGCAGTGACAAAAAAAGTTCAGCCGCGAGGGGGGTCACATTTTCACGCCCTTCGTATGGTAATTCCGGCGGGATCGGAGTTCTTTCTCGAAACTTCTTAGTAATACGCAAGGAACATATCGATGACAGGTATGTATGTGCAAAATATACGTGTATGCGTGAGGAATGCATCGCTGCAATTCCTTACAGGTTTCCTCATACTCTGCCGTTTGGTGACGATGGAGTTATGCAAAACTTGTCTTGCTAAATAGCAGCCTTAAAGTTTAATTTTCTCTCTGAATCTTGAAAGTTTTGTCATTAAAAAAATAGCGGGTCGATAAAAGTCGAGTCGCGTAGATGTCGGTGCGATGTTTGAAATTAAAATGTCACGTTTATCAGTGTGAGAATAAAATTGTTTAACGGTGTAAACGCACGCGACGAGAGGCTTCCAATTTTGCAACGTGCGCGGCATAATTAAAATAATTAGCCAATCTCTATTGTCAAATCGAGCATTTTCCCCAAAGATTCTATTATTAAAACTTTCTTCTCTCCTTCATTCCGTTTATCACAATTGTAAAAAGTATTGCGAGAAATTCAATACTCATTCAAGAGAAGCCTGAGAATCTATAAATATATACATATACATGTACATATAATATGTACATGTGTGTGTGTGCGTTATATAAAAATCATACATTCACTTGAAACATATATCCGCGAAAAAATATCTGAGAAGGAATCGTGGAAAGGGATTGCGGCGCGCACATGGTTATTCTTCCGGATGAGTATCGTACAGTCGCCGATCGGATAAGAGAATTATGCGAAAAATCGGATACGCCGAGTAAACGGTATCTGGATATCAAACCGTGAAATCGCGTCTCGCGGTCGGATTTAGTTAGGGAAGATTCCTCGGTTTCCACACCTGGGAAATGAAATGTCCATCCTATTTTCGACACGATAGTCCTGATCTAGAACGGTCTTCCGGGGAAAATCTCAATTTTGGCGCTTCGCTTCCTCGGGCAGATTCTCGGTCTCTTTCCTTCTCTCGAGCCAGCCGGCCGGCCGGCCGGCTGGCCGGCCGACCGACTCGATGCACGATTTCATAGCCCTCTCGACCGTCCCTAGGGGCGTCCTTTCACTTTTACCTAGCGATCGATCCGACCTACGCCCCTGTGCACGGCTATTTGCGGGAACCGCGTGCGGGACAGAAAAGAAGAATATCTCCGTATGCACGTGCGCGCACCGTTCTGTGACATTTCGAAGTTCATAGTTCAGCATGAAGATGCCGACGAGTGCGCGATTTTGACTCTTATTCACGACTGGTTGAAGCTGCTACTTAGGAGTGAAAAATCGCGGAGCGATGTGTCCGAAAGTACCCGTAAATACCCGGAAAAAATTAAAGGCTCGCTTCAAATATTCCTCGAGATATGTACTTTTCGGGACGATACGTTCCGCTCTCGCGATAATCCATTGAGCTATAAAATACGTCATCGTATGCAACGAACAGCTCGCGTGTTTTCCTCTCTTTCTCCCCCTCTTTTTCTACCTCACTTTCTCTCTCTCTCTCTCTCTCTCTCTCTCTCTCTCTCTCTCTTTCGAACGAACGAACGAACGAACGAACGAAATTGACGCGCGCCTGGCCATGCCCGTCGCTTGGATCTCAACTATCAGACCGGCGAAATCTGTATTCGCGAGAGCGTCAAATAACGGCCGCCATTAAAAGTGTCGATACGCAATTTCCTGCGAAAACACGTCGCCGACGATACCGGCGCCGCGAGCTCCAGCTCGAACGCGTTGAGAAAATCGGCCGGGAAATATCGGAAAATGTCGACGAGGTCGGCTGGCTACACACGGTGTAGGCGAGGCAGGATAGCGGAATGGAAGGACGCGCTCGTTTCAGGAGCACTTCCCCCGTCGTGACCGTGCGGAAGGCAAAGAAAAAAAAGTTGCCTATTTATAAACCATTAGCGGAGAATGAAGTTTAATCAGGCTCACGGCACCCCTCGCCCGTATCTCTATTTATTGCTACTCGATTGATCGATACGTTAAATGTTAGGATATACCGCCGGTACATCCTTCTCGTGCGAGCAGTAACAGAGACGCCGGAGGAGATTTTCGGAGTTGATCGTTGATGAAAGTTCGCCCTGTACTTGTCGCGGGGGATAGGGGGACAGAGAAAGAAAGAGAGGAGAAAAGACTGAATGTGTGTCTCTTTTCGGACGACATGTCTTCGTCGTCGTTACGTTGGTCGTCCGTCCTTCTTTCGCCGTTTTTACTCCACGGTATTATTTCTCGTCGTCATTACCGCCACAAGGACAGAGGTTTTCAAACTAGTTCTTACGCTGTGCGAGTAATCGATCACCCAATCAACGAACTTACTTATTAAGGCGCGGTTTTGCGGCTGTACGTGTTTAAGAAGAACAAGAAGATGCGGCACGGCCGATCCCTGGCTATTTCCGAACGTCAGTATTTCGAGGCGACTATCTTCGCCTCACCCTATAAAACTGTGGGAAAAAGGGGAGGAAGGCCAGAGGTCCACGATTTATTGCTAAATATACTAGGCGCCGTCTTGTGTGTGTGTGTGTGTGTGTGTGTATTGTGTGTGTCGAGCACATTCTATATATTATACAAATAAAATCCCGAATAAAGTCGTGTCACAAAGAAAAATCGTCGCCGCTAATAAAGGTCGTTATGTAAAACAGCGAATCGGCGAGAAATATTATGGTTGCCGCAAAAGAATCACCACCGCCTGGATCTGCGTGATAACAACAGCTATCGGTAACTTTTCCCCTTACTTTCCCTGATTTTACGTTCGCTGTTTCGCGACTCATTTCGTCGCTCTATTTTTCCCGCGACGTATATTATGTGCAAATCGAATTACGCATAAATCGTGTTACGCATAAATCGCGCTACTAAATTACTTTGCGTTACGCTGTGTACTCGTTACTCGCTCCCAAGCCCAGCAGGAAGAAAGAGAGAAAGAGAGAGAGAGAGAGCGCCGCGCCGTTTAATTTATATTTAGATGCTAACTTGATAAAATAGAGTCCTCTGTTAGTTCCAATTAGCATCGGTCGCGTGTGTTATGCGCGTCGCACGTAAACGGAAATATTCCGAAATAGAGATAATTTTAGCGCCGACCGGCTTATTTGCATAACAAATTAAACGGCAAACGTAGCGTGTGCGTGAGCGCGTGCTGTTCCGGTCGGAAACCCTCGTGTTACATGCGATGCTCGGAGAAACTCGCACCCTTGTTTCATGCGTGCGAGGAACCATCCCTCCCTCCCACCGCCCTTCCGATCGATGACGAGTAAATGTTTCGGCTTGAATAAAAACATTAAACGTAACTC